CAACTGGAAATCAGACATTTTAAACACTTTACTAAGTCAAAGCAAATATTTTGGCCGAGCTTCTTCTCAATACCCTCCCTCATTTTTTCAGGCTACAGCAACGTGTTGTTTCAGGGTGTAAGTATACTCTCAAGATTCAAACTTGAAAATGTTGCTTTCATGGATGAAATATTGGAATTGCAAATATCTAAATGAATGTAAATAGCGAACATTTAGTCGTCATAATTTCTATTGTGAATACTAGAAGCCTGTTTATTTAAACACATATTAGGACAATAAATTAAGATTCAAGTTAGTCCATAACTCTGCTTAGTATACAAAGTAAACGCTTAATAAATGGATTATGTACTCGTACATGCAAATGGTCTCACCATAAATAATCTAGAATTCTTTTTTTCTTATGTAAGTTAAAAAAACGATCGTGATATACCAGTGACAATGATTATTTCTATGATAATGATGATGATACATCGACGACAGCGACGATGGGTTTAGTTTTAAAGAAATATTAAGATGTTTTTCATTTGAGTGAAATATAGAATATGTTCACGAAACATGATATATTTCCATATATTTTCACGAGCTGGAAATCTTACTTTTACTCTTTAAAAAGAACGTTCGATTTCGAAGCTTTATAAATTCGTTATAAATATTTCTGACAGGTTATATGGCCGTATATAAACGGTTGTTTGCAATATAAACCTCGCCTGACGGCTTGGGTTATATTTACAAACAACCGTTTATATAAGGTCATGCAACCTGTCTAATATTAAAAAATATTATTTTCTGTGGATATTCACTAAGTTCACTTCAGTGTTGTTATATTTTTCTGGTCCTTCGGGATCATTGATGCCAGCATTATTAAGTGTTGAGAATTGAGTACCGCTCAAGCCGGTGCTAGGAGGCGTGAGGGATTTTGCAAGTATTCATTATCCCTCATGTACAGACTCAATCAAACCGAGTCTGCAGTTCTCTTGTAATTTTGTTGTGATTAATGCTTCCGGGGGATCACTTTGTTTCAAGATTTTTATATAATCTTCTGTTATGGATAAATTTTCATTTTCTCTTTAATAAAGGATTAAGAAAGGATGATGTATTAGATCTACAAATTTAAATATAGCATGTAAAAATATAACAGCTGGTGTTGGCAAGAGCAAAATATTTCAATCTGTTACGTTAAACAAACAAAATTTCCATTCATGTTTTTCAGTGTTTTATTGTAACATATCAGATGATTATACTCTGATAAACCACTAGTCTAGTGAAATTTATAAAATATAATTTTCACTGTGGCCGGACTATATCTGAATGCGGATGAAAAGAAAATCAAACTAAATGGAATAACAGGCAGAAATAAATGCCGTCATACGTAAATTTTGCTTCTTTAGGAAAAGAAAGTCGATGTCACCATACATCATGTTAAAAACGTAACAAAATTAGAGAAATTTAACAGAACTATATTTCAAAATTGCTGATGTGACGTCATGATGTGATGACGTCACAAAGGACAATGCGCGACGTTACGCGGCAAAATCAGTAAAAAATACTTAAAATCGCTTAAAAGGCATGAAATAAAAAGAAAATTTATTTGTTTTACATATAAGATTGAAATATCTTTCATTCGTGAACACCAGTTATTAAATTTTTACTCCTGGCTACGCCACTCGAGAAAATATTGCATCTGGTGTTCACTGAGTGAAATTATATTTCATTAATACACTTGTTACTATATATAGTAACAAAATTGCCTATGATTTCAACCTACCACGAGGGCGTAGCCCGAGTGATATAATGATGCGCATCCGAACGACAAACAGTGATGTTATCAAGCAATAAAATCACCGATTTGGGTATATTATTTCGATTCTAACACGAAATCAACAAATAAATGCTGCCGTACATGATAATTAGCTAAATTGCGCCTGATTTGTGTCCGTACTTATTGTCAGGGCGTCTCATTTTTAGGGTTACGTCACGTGTATAATGATTACGTCACATGTCTAAATATAGAACGTCAAACAGTGATTTTATAGCATATTCTAACACGACCCGCATTTTTCCCTATTGAACATAGAAGAACAGAAAGTGTGTGTTATTATGCAACAGATGCACAGTTTGACGTTCTATATTTAGACATGTGACGTAATCATTATAAACGTGACGTAACCACTAAAAATCCGACGCGCTAAAAATAAGTACGGAAACAAATCAGGCGCAATTTTGCTTATCTATCAATTACGGCAACATTTATTTGTTGATGTCGTGTTAGAATCGAAATAATATATCCAAATCAGTGGTTTTATCGCTTGATAACATCACTGTTTGTCGTTCTGATGCGCATCATTATATCACTCGGGCTACGCCCTCGTGATATAATTCCTCGCATCCGAACTCCAAACAGTGATGTTATTGAGCGATAAAATCACTGTTTGGGATATATTATTTCTTAAATAACACACACTTTCGGTTTTTCTATGTTCAATATGGAAAAATGCCGGTCGTGTTAGAATTGTCCATACATTTCCGTAACAGAAGTTCGTAAACACTCAAAGAGGGGCGGGGCGTCATGCATGACTTAAAATCGTTTAACTTTGTGAATCTACTTTTGCCGTATTAAACATGTTAGTGTGTAAACGAACTCTTGTAGTTCTACAACTGAAAACATGTTTAAAATGTTAAATTCTATTTTCTGTATTCGAGTTTTACATTTTATTTATATATCTCAGATACAAATAAATATCTGTAAGTGTGCAAACATGCGCAGTGGAAGATACGAGCTTGTAAATTTGTTGTTGTTTCCCATGTTAAGTTCAGTTGTTATTTAAAAACGGGTGCATTCAATTAAAAGATCGGATTAAGAGGCATATTTAATTAAGTAATTTCTACTCCGGCCCGCTATGTGGCATTGTAGGGGATAAAGGAGAAATAAGTTGTTTTTATTCAAAGCTTGCGCGGATATGACCAGACAACTACGGGAAATTTAATAGCTGGAATAGTACCGTTTAAACTGTCATCGCTGAGCATAGAGTAGCAAACCATATTGAACCCGTATATATAACCATTTAATACCTATGTTACTATATATAGTAACAAAATCTAGGGTATTTCAGGGCCATTATCGCAAGTCAACGCAGCATTTTATATAATGAAAAAAAGATAAGAATTTAAACTTTGAAAAAATGTCTGAAATAAGCAAATTCATATTTGGTTAATGAGTAACGAAGATGAAAAAATCATAAAACAATTTGTAGATTTTATTTTTACTTGTTTTAAACTCAGAAATGATAATGAGAAAACATAAATTAATTTAACTTGGTATATACGGTATATATATTATTATTATTATTTTTTTTTTTTTTTTTGAGAGAGAGACATGTGTATTGTACAGTTTTGTTACAAAACAGGTATACGCTATCTGTTTGTGTAAATTAAATGTTATTCGAAGAATAAAAACAAAATGTAATTTTCAATTCATATATATACATGTATATATGTAGTTATGATGTTTAATTGTAGTTCGCGAAACCCTGTCATTTGCTGTGTTTGTTTGTTTGTTTTTTTTTTTTAAGTTTATTGTTGTTACTGTAATACGAATCAAGTTTTAGTTTCTTTAACGTCTTTATTTGATCTTTGATCTCATTATTATTATTGTGATTCACATGTCATTTAACATGACCCTTGATTGGAAATAAAAGTTATTCTATTCTATTCTTATTCTATTCGCAAGATCTAGGTCATTATGCAATTTTGGCCGCCTTGCTACTCGGCATTATTTTTCCATAATGGGCGAGTGAATGAGCGCACGTACAGAATGACGTCATCAACTCTCAGCGACGTTCAAGATGGCTGCTGACGTTGAATGAACTATAGTCACTTGCACACAAAATTTTAAGTTTAAATGACGTAATCAATCGCAATCAACAAAGCTTAACATTGACTATTTATAAACTCAAGAAAAGAATACAATAACTCATTCCAAGACAAAACATGACCCTCAGAACTTCCAAAAATGATTTCAGTTTGACGGTATTTTATATTAAAAGCTCTAGATCGGATCGATGGCATTTAGATGTTGACATTGATCGTCTCAGTAACCGTTCTTGAAGGCACAAAAGTTCATAAAAAACTTATCACAAAAAATATAAAGAGTATTTATCGATATAAACAACAATAAAACAACATTGTCTCATATTTATTTTGTTTTGTCATGTTTTCAAAGTAAATCGAAGAGTTAAACTGAATGATAGATATTTGTTTACATTGACAACTGTCCGTTTCTTAGAAAGGGCGACAACCAAGATTAGCGGCGATGTCTACTGTAAATGCCGTATTTCGGACATAGGTATTAAAGACGTTAATACTTGGTTGCTGCTCGCCATTATGCGATAATGGTCCTCGAGTCCATAATGTCCTTCGGGCCTGCGGGCCTCAGGCAATTATGCACATCTTCGGGCCATTATCGCATAATGGCGAGCAGCAACCAAGTATTAACCTCTAAATATAACACCGGGGTTTTATAACTGGCTGACTTACGGTCATAAATATGTACTGTCAAAACGACAGAACCAAACCACAAATTAAACAGTTTCGTAAAGTAATTATTCTGTGCAAACAAAACCTATGTAAATATTATGCATGCACTTTAGTATGTATGGTGTCTATTTAAAAACTCTTGTCCTAGGATTTCACCTTTATAGTTATAAAACGAATTCCACGGCACAGTAAACACAAACCAAGTACAATTACTACCTTTCAACCTTTTAATAAGTAACTTTTTGGAAACTAAAACAAAATGAAAAAGCTTTTGAGAAATGAAGATTTTATTGATTGGTCCTAATTGTACACAATAAAGAAAAAAAATCCGTTCATCAAAACATAAAATGGGATAAATAAAAATCCTCATTTTTAAACTTTGTTAAAGGTTTCCAAAAATAAACGTTCTGCTCTGTTGAACACTCAATACTTTTTAAAAACCTAAATGTTAACCAGAGTTCAATTGCCAACGGTTTAGTAAATATCGACCCTGAAATGAATGCGGTTATTCATTCGTGTCTTGGTTATTAAAGAGTACGGACTACAAAATGAAGTTTTATACGGTGATATTCTTCTCGTCTGTTATAATCGTGAATTCACAGAATCCGCGAGTTAGTTCTAAAATAGGTGAAATTGTTGGCAACGAAATCATTTTACCGGTTGATCTGCCCTACAAAACTGTGCATCAATATTTAGGAATTCCTTTCGCGAAGCCACCTGTTGGAGATCTGAGATTTCGCAAGCCGGAACCCACTACGTCCTTAACGTCGCCATTTTATGCCCAGAAGTTCAGCGCAATATGTCCACAGCGTCCAATATTTGAAACAACCTTGAAAGATCCGCAGGATGAGGACTGCTTGTACCTGAACGTGTACGTGCCTGAACGAGAACCGGAGATACCTGATGGACACGCGGTTTTGATATGGGTTTATGGTGGCGGTTTTCAAGAAGGCACAGCAAACACATATGATTTTTCTCTTATGTCGGTAGCTGGAAACATCATTGTCGTCACATTTAATTACAGAGTAGGGGTTTTTGGTTTCCTCAGCACTGGCGATGAGAATGCTAGAGGAAACTATGGTCTTTGGGATCAGCATATGGCTTTTCAGTGGGTCCATGATAACATTGGCGACTTCGGTGGTAACATCGAGAGAGTAACAATTGCAGGGGAATCGGCTGGTGCCATGAGTGTTATTCAGCATGCACTAGTGCCAGCCAATAAAGGACTTTTTCAGAGAGTAATAGCACAAAGTGGAAGTATGTCAATGCCTGCCATGGACCTGGGAAAAGATTCTAGCAAAGATGTGCATACATTGGCTGAAAGTGTAGGCTGCAAAACGGACAATATTGCCGATGTAATAGAATGCTTGAGGGTGACAAAAGTTGACGAGCTTCTTGCACAACCAGTTATGTTCAACCCAGTTTTTGATGGAGAACTGATTAAGATCAACACTCGTGATATTACAAAGATTGCAAAAACGAGATCGCTAGAAGAGGTCGAATTTTTCCGGTCTCTTGACATTCTGAGCGGATTTAATGCAAACGAGGGAGTGAGTGTATTACCGTGGATTATGAGTATGCTTCCGAAGGAGATGCAAGTGTCACAATTAGAAGACTTTAGCTTTGATCATTTTAGGTGGACAGATGATATTGTACCTGCTGTTATGAATTTTTCATTTCTTAAGCATTTTTCAAAGGAAATTTTGCAACTAGTTGATGCTCAATACAGGTCCTGGTCAAGTCCATACGATCAACATTTACTTCGTTTACAATTCGAGAAATTGGTGGGAGATTTGACTTATGCTATACCAGCGATTGAAATGGCGCGCCTTCATGCCATGTCATCCTCGAGTTCTGAGAATAACTTCATGTATCATTTCTTACCAAAACCATCCATCCGGGCACAACCCACTCCCAGTTGGATATCGGGCGCAGGTCACGCTGACGAGCTCATGTTCATGTTGGGTGCTTTTGACATGCTAGGTGTTGGAGAAGAGAATGCTTGGGAAAATGATCTGATGACGAAAATGATGACATATTGGACAAATTTTGTCAAATCTGGGTATGCAACTATTCAATTATCTTCCAGATTTTTGTAACTTGCTATTGTAATTAGGCCTTATATTGTTTAAGATCTTGACCTTTTTCTGTTGAAAGCTAAACCTGTGTACCACATATTGTAATTATTGTCATTTCTGGTAAAAAGTTCCAATTTCCGTAAATTTTCATCGGTTCAAAAATACAGTGGACACAAAATTATAATGAATAAGTGTGACCTTTGTAAAGTCTTAACTTTATAGACAACGCTATGCACATGCTTTGAATCATTAAAAGGTATATAGACTCAAAAATCTCTCTCGTGTTAACGGCTTTTCGGGGAGGCGGGGGGGGGGGGTCAAGATAATTCTTACTAGCCTAATGTAGTTTGGTAAATAGAATACTAGTATTTTGGAGCAGTTTTTGAAAACAAAGCGCTGATGTACTTTTTTGACATATATTAAAAAGTTTACCAAATTCAAATTGTTCATCACATTCTGTGCTGCTTTTATATTTCTAGGTGGCCATGTGTTTGTTTGTTTATTTGTTTGTTTGTTTGTTGAAAAACAAAGGTAACACTAAAATATTAATCAAGTGTCGGGGTTTATCTATGTGCCAAGTAGTATACACAGCAAGTATAATAAGATAAAATATCATATTTATATATTTTTGTTGAGGCAGACGTGTGTTTAGTATTGCCGATCAATCTAATTAATTAAAACAGATTTAACAGTTTTTATTTCAACTAAGAATATCTGATCTTTCATTGAGATTTGATATCGTATCAAAGCAAGCAATATATGTGGGACCAATATGTGTCCCAACTGAGCACCTACATGCGCCCATTTTGATGGCGACAGTTGGATTCGTATTAATGATCAACTCGTGACTGACAAGCTTTAACTTAAGATATACTTTTATCATGATTTCACTTTGTATTTTTAAAATTTTAAATACATTGTACATGTACTAGCAGATGCTCTTACAAAGAAAGATTGCAATAAGGTCACAGCCAATCTATATATATAAAACATTTGTGCTCAGGTTAAATAATTGAAGTTTTTTCTAAGTTAACTTTTTATTGCTGGTTTAACTCATTTTTAACTGAATGCAATTTCATTGTAATGTATGTTGTTTTTTTAATAAGAATACATGCATATGCCTTTTTTAATATACGGGCTTGCCTACATATGTCCTATGTACGTAGGACCCATATGTTTTAACTTTATGGATCAGCCCACATAGGTCTCATAATTGTCCTATATGGGCATACCCATATGGACTTGCACAAATTTATAGATAGAACATATGCGACCCTTTCGGCTGGGATGTGCATTTAATTAAGATATGCTATGTAAAAGTATAAAAACTTTAAAACAGAGGGGCTTCGTGGCCAAAAGGTTAATGTCACCGTCATCAACTCACATGCCCAATGCCTATACTCAGGAGTAAGCTCATGGCTGAAATAATGCACGAACGGCCACAGACACTTGGGGTTTGGAGCTCAAAACGCCTTTAAAATCCAAATAAAATGCATATTTGTCAATCCCAGCACATGTACTGATCATATACATAAACTTAATATAAGCCGTTTTGAAAAAAAATTATATTTCAACATCTATAATAATACACAAGATTAAAATGTTCGCCGGACATTGACAAATTGACAAATATGCATTTTATTTGGATTTGAAAGGCGTTTTGAGCTCCAAACCCCAAGTGTCTGTGCACCATTACTGTCCATTAGAGCTGAAAAGTCGACATAAGACATTTACAGGGTCCGCGTAACTTAAATCCAATTAAACCTATTTAAAGCAAACAGACCTTTAAAAAGAAAATTCCTATGTAAATAATATTGTGGATTAAAAGTGCTTCCCTTGAAGAAATTCTAGTAGGCTTGATACTCATTCTAATGCCATATAACAGATCTAATAAACACCGTGTATATCCAGTAAGGCAGGAATGTGCAAATAACGCAGGAATCGTGCAAATGTAACGCAGAATTGTGCAATTTAGTGGCTAAAACGAGCATCGCGATAAGTAAATGGACCAATAATTTTCATTGTACACCAAATTGGAAGAAATTATTAAGCGCATACGGTTGCTGAGACATTAAACTTTAAACCTTATTTCCATGAAAATGTTTATTTTTCAAGATCATTCGTGAAAATGACGACCTGACTAGCGTATAGTTTCGTTGACATCTTTAACTACAATAACATACATATTAATTTATAATTTTCACATGCGGTGTACCTGAGACGTTTTCCAATCTACTCGTGTCATATCTCACTTATATTAGCAGATAAAACGTAATTGAGACCATTTTTACGAGGTAACTCTTAATTTACCAGCTTTCTTTTATTGTTATACTAAACTTGTAGTTTCACAAATGTCTTAGATATACAGAATATGAAAAAAAAAAGTTTTAAATGTGTTAAATCATTAAAATGTACATATTTATTTGATGAAACACAAAAGTCACCTTCAAAACGGTAATCAGGTTGACTTTCTCACGAATAATTTAAAAAAGTAATAAACATATTCCTGAAAAAAAATGTAATGCTGGTTAAAGCAGCCGTATGTGCTAATTCATTTCTTAAAAGTGGATTTAGAGTAAAATATTTTGGTTTGTTTACTTACTGTGTAATTCGCTTTTGCAATAGCGTTGCACATATTCGGCGTTACTTTTCCGTTATTTGCACATTCCTGCGTTACTGGATATACACGGTGAAAGCTGTACATAAGCATAATTTTCTCTTTTTTGCATTTCAGTAATCCAAACTTTCCTCAACCAATTAAGCCAGCATGGCATGAGTACAATATTGCTGGCGGTAGTTATCAAATACTTAATGCAACAATGCCGTCCGACATGCCTGGTCCGAGATATTTCTATGCAGAGGAGACTAATTTCTGGTTGCACGTATTTCCGGATCTTGTGGATGCTGTTCATGGTAAAGGAGGAGATTGTGGGGACGGAACCTGGACTAGTGCAGCCAATAATCTATCACTCCACTGGGCAGTTCCATTTGTACTGTCAATCTTTCTGTGTATTATTTCATGACTTTCTATCATACATTAATTCTTAAATATATAAGCTTACATAATGTTTTTACATCTCTGTTCAAACATACTGGGTCTTAATAAATGATAAGATCGGAAAAAAATGAATGAAAATAGACTTTCACCAGTGAAGATTTTATGTTGTACAAGTCCCATAACTCTGATTTTATATTGTCGAGTTAATTTAGTATTTCTTTAGAATCGTATTAAGGTAATGTAAAGTTGTCAACTACAACATCTTGTGACATATTCATTTTCAAAAACAGTTTCCATTTTTATTGACAAACTATTTACAAATATTATATTATTCTTGTAGTTAAATTAATTATCTTTCTTTTTCATTTCTTTCATTTCTTAAAGCCATAATACTTCCTCTTTTGGATGATTTTACACGTGCATCAGAGCGACATCCCTCTGGGATTGGTGCTAAGTGGTATCTATTGCTCTAAACAAGTTACATTTATTGTGTATAATTACATCGGGTATAGCTAATACAGTTGTTGGTAAAATGGATATTCTCTAAAGAGGGTTTTACTGTATATGGATTTATAATCAATTAAATTTCTCAGCCTTTTAGCGTTTAGTTTATGTGTGTTTTTTTTTGTTAATATTAATATATTGACATGTATATACATGTATATTAAAAACAAACCATCTTCATTCTAAAATTTTAAAAGCAGCTTATGGTACAACAAGGAATCCTGTGGGAAGTTTTGTACAAGAATAATATTATGAGTTTGGCTTTAAACTAGTGAAATTTAGAAATTATAACTTTTTGCGTGACTGGCTGGCCAGTGTAACTTTATCAAACATCTTTTTATTATCTGGTCTTAATATACATCTGTACAGCAAACAAAAAACTTTAAACTTGCTCTTCATCAGATCTCATGAGCAAATAAGGTTCTTGTTTTTAATATTAATGCAATCATCATCGATTTTTAAAACGTACTCTTCAGTGTCACCAGTCCTTAATTTTGCAAACACTGTGTACATATTATTAGTGAAAGGTTATATGTTTCAATAAAATCGGTTATATGTTCCAGTAAAATCGGATATATGTTCCAGTATGTTACAGATTGCTAATGAAAACTGAAGACTCTGTTTAATTTAAAGACACATTATCCCTCAGGAATGAATAAATGCTTACTTCTTTGGAAATGGGCAACCTGAAAGCGATAGACAACATGTATAGCATGCAACTGTTTTTTACACTAACACAATTATGAATAGTCAATGTCTTCACAATTAATTTAGTGTAAAGTTACAAATCAATCACAAATGCTATTACTTTATTTAATAAGAATAGAGATAATTCATAAAGTTGGCACAGCCGTGTATCTAAATGATATATTGTGCAATATAAAATCGGATTGACCAATGAAAATCGACGTTACAACGAGTAGTAATCTCGAAACTTTTATCTCTTAATAATTGCATTCACGACTCTAAAATGAGCGGCATCAGTGCTTATAAATTAACAGGGTTCTAGTATCCAACAGTCATTGACTTTAAAGCCCGTAGACATGGTTAAGTAAAGTCTTACAATAATCGCCCATATTTTGCTCTAGTAAATAAATGGAAATATAAACCGGGTGGGCGGTCGTAAAGCTCAATGTTGTCCAGAAGAGAATCCTGACAAACACGACGACGATTTTGAACAAATCTAGAGATAGCAATGTGTATGTGTTTAAAGGTAAAGGCAAGCAATGACGCCAGTTACTTTAACATTATATCATATGAGCGCCTAAATAAAAAAATCAAACGTATTTTTATCATCTGAAAAATAGCTCTTCCTACCATTTACATGACAGGAGTTCATAGGAGAATCTGCAAGACAGAGTCTTGTCTTTGTGACACATCCTATTACTGCCATACTATCATCATGTCATTTATGTTAATCGTATCTATCTATATCTGTTCATATAAGTAGAAGGACCACTTCTGGTATGATAATTTCCGTGAGATGTACGTAGTGAGATTTGATATAATTGGAGAGGTCATCAGACCTCTCCACAGTGTTCAGACTGATTGCTGGCGGCATCCATTTTTTGCGTATCTGATTGTAGTGTATGAATTTCAAGCGTAAAATCATTAGGAGCATTCTACCAAAATTGTTATGCGCATGCTCCGCTGCATGATCAAAAAACGACTTAACTTAAACGAAAAATTGACATCGAAGTGAACAAATCGGTACATAGAAAAATCGGAAAATATCTTTTACGTTACTTAGCACTAGGTGGATGTTTCATTCCGTTTTAATCTTTTAATATGTATAAATCGATTACCGTATTGTTTTATGAGTAGCGTTTTACTATTTCATGTTCCGATATATAGTAACAGTGACAATTATAGCTACAATATCACCATGCACTATTATATGACCGAGTGAACAGTGTACCGAAGTTTTGCTGCTCCTTTAATTAATTTTTGAACCGGTATGACTAAATAACGCAACGGAGAATTTTTGGCGCAAATGGCACAACATTTAATCAAGTTTGATTTTCTTCAAATATTGTGGTTGGAGGCATGTAGCTTTATATACTGTTTATTCCAATCAATTGATTTAAACATATTTGATGTAAATCTGGGACTTAAAGGGTATAAAGGGGAAATATTTTTTTTATAAAATTAATAAACAGTAAAATTATATCCGTTCCATTATTTAATTACTCAAAAAGTTGTTACATAGAATATCTCTGTTATTTAATACACATGAATAATGTACGTAAAAAGGATAAAATGTTCCAGAACTATATATTATTTTGCTATTTTAAGTAGGATTTTATTCCTTTAGCGATGACTTTGTGCATGCGCCACTCGCTTTAAGGAAACTTATTGCCATGTTTATTTCACACATACATTTTAGAAGTATTCTTTTTTTTAAAATCCAAACAACAATTTTTGCATCAGATATATAGCTTTTTACACTTAAATTTATTGATTATATACTTTTTGCCCGTTTTTGGAAAATGTAGAGGAAATGTTTTCCTTTTATTTAACAAAACACCAACCGAAAATTTGCTTATTGAATTTTTCAAGAAACTTTTATTTTAATACTTCTTCTAATATACATAGCATTTATTTTAAATTTAGTTTGATGACAAAACATATATTGTTCCCTTTGTAGAAAAAGTATCTCTAATGCGCCAAGAAAAAGTCAATTTCTCTTGCATATTTCAAAACATAAAAAAGAAGTGTAAAATAAACTTTCATTATGGTATTATATTCAATATATATGATACATTATATTTTGTTAAAGAATTGTAATTTATAACCATTCATTGCGTCGTTTATGCAAAAATATCCCAAAATATTTTTGAATTAAACACATTTTCCACAGCTGCAAAAGACCTCTCGCATGCTTCTTTTTAAAGAAGCAAACTTGTATGATTTATGCCAATGAAGCAATATTACTGAGCGGTATAGTACGAAAGACCGCGCAATAGGGTAAGCTACGGGTTAACGATTTCTAAGAGTCCAACGTGTTGTAAGATCGAGACCGCGTTCCTCCAATGTTTTATTTTCCTTCTTATTTATAACTATTCACAACATTATTGAAACTATGATTGCTTGTTATATCGTTCGTTTTGATTAAATATGTTTAGCAATTATTTTTGGTAAAGTCTAAACCCTTTTTAAATAACATGCTTTCAGAATTAATATTTATAATCAATTCGGATTAAAATTAGAAAATGTCATTTCAAAGGCGTAAAAAGCAATACAAATCGAGACAATGTTTATTAGTTGATTCATATACTTAGTATATTCACATATTCAATATTGGAAGCACTCGGCCATTTCCATGAAAATATACTGCAAAAATAAAGAAAAAGAATAGGCCTTAAAAACAATTGCAAAAGTAGGGATCGAACTACAGAGACCCCTTATATATTAGACAATCACTCTACCGTCTGTGCTATCGCGGATTTGACAAGGCCTATGCATTAAGCTGGTATGACTTATCAAAACATTAGATATTTACTCCATCTAAATTAATTCTCGTAAACTACACGGACAGATCCGAAGTGAAATCGAATATTTGAATGCGTGCTATAATGTATTCAAAATTGACAGGTCAATAAAATCAGACTATATCTATAAAGAATTAAACAATATTAGAAATCTTCGACCATTCGGGAACTATTTTGCTTGAAAATTAATGCGCTTGTCATTTGACAATCTTTAAGCAGTGATCTCCCCTGAATTTTTCGGCGTTAGTGTACATATAAAGGCAAGTAACCGCTTCAAAAAAGCGGACTACTTTCGGCATTTGCAATTAACAGCATCAGGGTCTGAAATTTCGCTACCATTATTTGTTTGGTCTGACGACCCAAACAAATAAAAACTATCTAAATATATTAGGCCATTTATTTTACAAATAATTAAACTAAGCATTGAAATACATAGTAAACTATCTGAAACTATGTCATGTTCCGGAATATGTAAATGGAAGAAAGGTTAGAATAGGACAATCACTTAGAGAAATCAAAATGTTTACCCAATGCAATAAAAAATGGCTGTTAATAAAATGTAATTGGCGTCAGGTATTCAGCGTCCATCGACCAATAAAAGAGTGATACATTGAAGATGTTTGTTTTTGTTGTGTTCGCACGTGAACTGGTCGTTTATTGAATGATACAAAAAGTAGTTGATATCAGATGGCAGACTGTCCTTGACAATGCTAACATATTTGTATATGTTGTTTAATGGCTTTACCGACAAAATTTACGAAAATACTGACCAAAAAGAAGAAACTATCATGACAACAAAAAATGACGTGTTCACAATTTTGCTTTCTGGTCGCGCCTCTTCATATTGGGAAGTTGAGCTCTTTTCATCCTAAAAGTGTTTAGGTTCCATAAAACTGACTTGCAGGAAATTGATAACAAGCAAAAACACATTTTGCTCTCTTGAGGACAAATTATTTCAAATACTCGTAGACCCAAACTCACATTCGCCCGAACGATATTTTCATTTCAGGACAAGTTATTTTTCCACACGATTTGCTTTCTGGAAGACAGATTATTTCAAATAAAACCAAAGGATTTGCTTTGTTGAGGACAATAATTTACGTCTAAGTATTTGTTTCTTATTTTAATTTAAAAAGAATTTTAATCTTTAAGATGTATCCAAACCAAAAAAACATAATAAAAATATCTTTAGTCTACTGAATTTAAAGCGCTTTTAAAAAAATTAAATTTCAATTGATGATAATAGAAATAAACTCTCTTTCAACGAAGGTAGCTTATTAAGACAATGCATCAATGCTCCAGAGATATTACATATTATGCAAAATCCTATTTTAAAAAGGCCTCCAAAAAAGATAAAAAAAACATATTACAAGAAAATACAAACATTTTAACATTCAGTACATATTACCCAGCAAAGACCGCAGACGGAATATTATATATAGTGTAGGTACATTGTCTATAATTCAAATCTCCAGAATATAGCACCACTTTTTCATTAACAATAATATACATGTAGTACAATACTTTTATTAATAGAACATCATGTATCTTTTGCCTATTGTGTCTGTTTAATTGTGCCACCATTGCATGTTTAAGAGGATGCTCTATGTGATATTTATTTTTCTTATTGATTCTGGTCAAATATCAAATCTATGATGTCATTG